TATATTAAAATTTTTTTTTTTTTTTTTTTTTTTTTTTTTTTTTTACTGTGATTTTGTGATTTTGATGCTTTGGGCTGGGAAACAATGTTTTAAATCTAAAAAGCTTCATGGGATGGAAAACCACTTTGCTGCCTAGCTCAACTCTTGCATCTACCTTTAAACACAGCTGCAGCCAAAAGGAGGATGGACTAGATGGCCCCCTGTTCTGATACAGTCAGGCAATGCCTTTAAAATGACCCATTTCTAAATAGTATTAATGTTTGCAAAGCACCCTGCATGTTTTGCAGCGTGCTGTCGGGAGGGTTGGCTGTAGGCAGATGCAGTCAATACTAAGCACTTATATAAGTTGCGTTGTTTTTTTGACCATGCTCTTGATCTTTGTCTGGTTCCCTTTACAACCATCTGTTTCCCAAGATGACATGTTGCAGCGTCATTTATGTGGAGAGTGAGGTCAAGAGGTTATGCAGATTTAACAACTCCACCTCCCCATTTATTCTCCAGCAGGGGCTTGTCTGGCACTCGGCAGGCCTTTGGTTATTTGATTTAGGGCTTTCAGTTAAACATGGACATGCCCTAAATTTACCAACTGCAGTCTCCTGTACTCCAGAGGAAGGTGGGGCTGACGTATGTAAACTGTGACACAAGGCAAGGCTTCACTAGCCAAGCTGGAAATCCGGTGCAGTCATCTACAGCGGCCCTCGGGCCACGTGCTGCCCGAGAGGCAGACGAAGGATTTCTCTCCGTCCGCGATGGAGGCTCCTCGAGGTCCTTGCGTCCCCCGCAGCGCTGCTGTCACGTGGCGGAGGTACCGTGCGAGGACCGTGAGAGCTGGTGCGTGAAATGTAGCGTTACGAAAAAGTCAGCGGCTGCTGAGACCATGTGGCCTGAGGGGAAAGAAAATGAGAGGAGAGTGGCAGGGTGAGAGATGAAGATGCAACAGACTTTTGTGATTGATTAGCATATAAACAGTGCCATCCTATGCTTGCCACACGTAGTCACGGATAAATTACTTCACAGCCATCTCCCATGGGGCCTATGGGGAGCCTGGCAGCCGATAACGGCTAGGTAGGTGGTTAGCAGGGATTCCTGGCTTCTCTTTTGTTTGCTGACTTGTATACACAAAAACACCCCCTTCCTCCCTGGAAACCTGGGAGAGATGGAAGTAGCCAGTAACGTGGATGCTAACGTGCAAAATGGTGAAAGCTAGCCTCTGGCCTCTCATCAGCCCGTCGCGCTGCTTCTGACGGGCCCAGCCACGTGCTGCTCCTTGCTTTCAGCTGTGCAGCCCTGCGTTATCTGATGGGGTAATGGCTTTCCTGAGCCTCTGCTTCAAGTAACTAGTATGCTGCAGTCTCATCTTCTAGCCAGCTTGGTTCAGCTAGCTAAGGCCTGCTCCTTTGAGGATAAAGGTTGTGGGTTCGGTCCTTGCTGCAGCTGTGTCTACGGGCACCCCTATTTCCGTGTCGTCCCTTCGTGGAGCGTGGCCTCTTTTGGTTGCTATAAGGATCTGGATGCTCTGCTTTCCTTTGCATCAGGCACTGCATGTTTTCCGCTCTGCTTTCTGTTTGGCTTGGAAAGGCCAATCTCCTTCCCCCAAGCTAGCTCTTCTGCCCAGACAAACAGACTCGGTGACTTGCATTTTTTTTTTGCAGAGTTTTATTTGAGAAGTTGGGAGCTTGTGATTGATCTTGCTCACGTCTATATGTGTAACAGGTGTCACTTTCAGTGTAGTACAGGGAAATCCCAAAATAGCTTAGGCTCTGCAAAGGGAAAAGAAAGACTGGTTATTTCAGCTTTGGCTGCGCTGAAAAACTCAAGAGCCCCCAGCCGACAGCGAAATCCAGAATTAAAATGGCAAGTGTGTGCCTTGTGTTGTGGCCTCCCTTACTGCTTTCTTTCCCATGCAGACTTTCTCTCGTGGCGACACAAACCGAGGTATAAATTCTTATACGCCTGGTGGTTTTTCGCTGGCGTCTTCCCCTACCTTTGCTCCTCCCCTAGGTTTCCCATTCTCTGGGATGAAAAATTTGATACCTTCCCTTGCCTAGCAGTGAAGTTGGTTATGTCACACTGAGGTTAACCTGAGGAGCTGTTCCCCTCTGGAACATTTTGCTTGGGTAATGCAGGCTCACGCGCGCATGCTATGTGAAAACATGTACCTGTTTGTAAGACTTCCTGGCCTGAAATTAATATTATCAGTGAACCAAGCAGTGCTATTCCGAGTCTCAAAATCCCCCGGCTGGGCAGAAGCTGTATCTTCTCCTTGTATCTCAACATCTGGATGGATGGGGTAGGAGGGGAGCCTATTGCTTTCTGGTATTTACAGCAACCTGCTTCGCACAGGGTGTCACTCTCGGGCCTGCCTTGCGCGGGGAGTTGCATTGCCTACAGGCCAATGCAAACAGATCCTGCAGCCGTGGCAGGAGAGGATCCGGCTTTCAGATGGAGAGGGCCGAGGGTTGATTGCCATTGATGAGCTGTCTGGGGTGTCGTGTTACATCTCCGGTTTGCAAATGCTCACAGCTGGCCTTAGCATGGCTTGTGTGAGGCCCAATTGTGCTTCAAGTTGAGCACGTCCATGAGCCTTGGCAGGCTCCGGGCCTGCGTACGCGACTTCCCAAAAATCCAGCACGTTGCTGAAAGAGTTAACACGATGCATTAACATCCTGTTGGCACGTATGTTCTTCTTTTTCTTTCAGGCCTGGGAGACGATTTGCCTTGCTTTTAAAAACAAAAAACCACCGCAAAGTCGGCCGTGGTTTCAGCTGCACTTGCTCAAGATTTGTACTGCCGACGACCGACCCTAAGGAGCGAACCGAGCCGGCGTGAGTAAGCAGCAGAGGGAACGATGCAAGCGTGCGAGGCTTGGAAGCGGAGCAGAGACACCGAGGTGAGGAACGAAAAGTGCAGAGTCCAGCAGTGACTTTCCTTCTCAGCCTGGCACTGTGGGCACCGACTCTCTTCTAGAAGAGCTGCAATTGCACTGCTATAACACAAGGAGCAGCCTGGAGAATTTTGAGCTGCGTCACAGAGCTCGGAGAGAGAGAGAGCAAGCTCCGTCGATAGGTCTACTAGCAACAGCCCTGCTGCAGCAAGAGCAGAGGGAGAGAGACAGCAAAAGAGAGAGAGGGATCCAGAAACAGAAGTCATAACACCATCAGGGGCCGGGGCTCCTGGCACCGTCCGGCGACGTTTTTAAAGAATATATTTGGTCGGAATCGATACCGGAGGGGTTCGCCCATTGACGATGCTGGAGACACGACGCGCTTAATCCCGCGGGGAGGGAGGGTGGGCAGACGCGAGAAGGGTTAACGGGAGGAAAATTCTGGAACGTTCTCTTCTGCGGTGCTGCACAGCGAGCGAGCAGAGGGCTGAGGACTGCGCAGATGTTGAAGGGGCAGAGCTCCTCGGCTCGGGGTCCATCTTCCCCACGTACGTACCTTTCGATCAGGATGGGGCTCACGCCGTGCCGGATTGCTCTTTATTGACTTATTTATTTGCAGGTCCCCCCCCTCCCCCCCCCCCCTTGGAGGCTG